CGCTGCCGTCCCACTCCCACGTCCCCACTCCGCTGCCATCCCATTCCCACGTCCCACTCCGCTGCCATCCCACTCCCACGTCCCCACTCCGCTGCCGTCCCACTTCCGCTGCCATCCCACTCCCCACGTCCCACTCCGCTGCCATCCCACTCCCACGTCCACTCCGCTGCCATCCCACTCCCACGTCCCACTCCGCTGCTGTCGCCACTCCCACGTCCCACTCCGCTGCCGTCCCACTCCCACGTCCCACTGTCCGCTGCGTCCCACTCCGCTGCCATCCCACTCCGCTGCCATCCCACTCCCCGTCCCACTCCGCTGCCGTCCCACTCCGCCGCCATATCAGCACACTTTTCAGCGAAAATATTGCACTCGGCTCTGGGTCCACACTGCGATAGTGAAGACCAACAGTGAGAGACTTGAATCCCGCACACCAACCACATCAAACAGTGGGCCACCGTTGTCTAAGCAGGGCTGCAGAGTCAAGACGCCACACGCCTGGCGGTGCAGACGAGACACAGCGCCCAGGCGACGAGTAAACATGCACGTCAAGCCCCTTCCGGACCACCCGACTAACACGAGAAGCTCGTGAGGCCCCGACAACCTGCCGTCCTAAGCAAAGAAAGGGGACAGGGTGGCCGCCCGACAGGGCGGGGGCCCGGCGCCGGTGTCCGCGCACAGAGGCGACGGGCCGCTTGGCCGCCGGCCGGTGGCGGCGCCACCGTCGCGCCGGCGCAGGTGCAGCCGCCGCCTGGCTACGAGCCCCGCCGCAAAAAGTGGTTCCGTGGCCGGCGCACCGCCAGCCTTGAACCCTGGCTGGCGGCGGCTCGCCTCCCACCCAGCGCTGGCGCAGGCTGGCGGCCCCGCGGCGTCGGCCCCGCCGCCGTGCACTGCCAGCGCGGCCAGATAGCCGACCGGCCGAGCCCGCATCCCCGCAGAGCCAAGCCAGCAGCCGGCGGCACCCACAGCGCGCTGCTGCAGATTACGACAAAGGGCGGCCATGGCGGGCAGCCGACGCCGGCCCGGCGCCAGCCGTGTCTACCGTCGCCGCTTTATCGTAGGCCGCGATTGTCGGCTTACTGACGCGGTGCCCACGTCACACAGGTTGCGCCATACATTTCCTGACGTAATTAGATTCGGGTTCTCATTATATCGAACCATTTTTCTACACCGACAAAACGGGCGCAAGTGGGTGGAAGGGGGGGGGCAAGGTGCATGACAGGGGGACGGCGAGGGGTGAGGGCGACGACCGTCGGGGCCGGCCGGCGGCTGCAGGTGGCCGCACGCGGCGACGGCACCAGTCGCGGCATTCCGACGCAGGGGCGCACGACCGAGGCCGCACCTGCCGTCCGCGCCGCCGCAGTCATGGGCACGGCCGGGGAAAATTGGCCGACGCCGTTCCGAGAGCGTGGCCGCCGGCGGCGGCGGCGGTGGCGGCGGCGGCGGCGGCGGCGGGCCGTGCGTCAGCCCGGCTGAGTCAGCCGCGCGCCCCTGCGTCATCGGGCCGGTCCCAGGGCGCGGCCGCCGGCGCCGGCGTCGGTTCGGTCCGCCCGGCTGCCGCCGCCGCCGCGTCCCACCGCCTGTCGCAACCAGCTGCAACCAGGCGGTGGCGCAAGCAACGATCGCCCCTCGCGCCGCCGCCGCCGAAACGCGACACTGCCGTCCCGATGGACACTACTGCGGTCCGGGCGCGCCGAGAACGACGTGGCGTCATCCATCAGTCCCCCCTCCCCCCCTCCCCCCCCCCCTATAGAAGCGGAAATCATTACTTGCCGTCGGAGCGGAAGTGGGAGGCGGAACTGCAACGGCCCGCTGGCTGTGGCTGCCGGCGCCGCCTGTCGCGCACCTGCAGACGGCAACGGCACACTGTCCGCTGCCGTCCGCTGAGGCCCTGGGAGGATGACGTGCCCGCCACGGCCGCGACCCCCCGCTCACCGGCCCGCTCGCGCCCGCGCCAGCCGACCGCAGAAGCGGCGGCTCCGCGAACAACGGCCGCTGCGCCGCGCCGCCGCCGGCGGGTCCGCCGCCCGGTCCGGTCCGGGAGGGATGCGGCCACCGCCAGCCGCGGGCAGCCCCCGCTCAGCGGACCAGTTGGCCGTCCGCCGAGGTGACGGCCCTGCAGGCGCCCGCGAGCCCCGTCCTACCGCCCAGGCTGAGTCGCTCCTCGGCGCTGGAGCAGCCTGCCGCGCCGTACGGACCTTGTTGGCCTCCGCCGCCGCCGCCGCCGCCGGCTGCGGCCGCGGCGCCCGATCGGGTGTCGCCGCCACCCGACGGCGTCATTCAATCCGGCGGCTGCCCCCAGTCGACCCTCGCGCGCCGCCCAGACGGTCCGGAATGCCGGCCGGCCCTCGGGAGCACAGGCGCCGCCGCCGCTGCCGAGGGGAGCGTCCCACAATGCTCCCCGCGCCGCCGCTCGCCGCCTCTACAATTCACAAAATGTCTCTCCGGCCCCTTCTTAGACATCATCAGAGATCCTACCTTATGGGAACGTTTTTACGAACAAACACCCTCTAGCACTTGTTCGGTGTTATTACGGCACGAAGGGTGAAGTTACCCCTACGCGCCCGCTGAGAAGCGACCTTCTGGTCCGCGTTCGAGGTCCCAGCGGTCAGTAAGGGTCAGAATTGCGGGTAATTGCGAAAATATCGTATTTACGCGCGGGGGAAGAGGTGGCTTAGGTATTCATTTATTTTGCTTCAAAGCCCGTGGACAAGAGGGATTACAGGGCACCTGATGAAGCGGCCCGGTGGCTGTGGCCCGCAGGATTCCTTGACGGGGTCACGCGTCGGGTTCGAGCAGGCCCCGACGCCGCCGCCCTCGCCGCCGCCACTCAAGTGCGACAGGCACGGCCCCCGGCAGCGCAGACGCCGCCGACCCAGGCTGCGACGTCCCTCGAGTCAGCCGCCCGCTCCTGGATACAGCGGTCCCTGGAGTCAGGCCTGTCCCGGACAAAGCCGCGCCCGGCAAAGTCGGCTTTGTTCCAGACAGCCGTCTCTCGAGTCGGGCCTGTCCGGCCTGTCCAGAACAGTGTTGTCCCTCGAGTCCGCACACTGTCCCGGACAATGCGCGGTCTCCACCGTGCCCAGGGGATGAGCCTCAATTCGACGGTGCACCATACGGGAGAGACTCTCGCACCAGCAGCTGTCCGGCCAGCGGCATCCCTCCAATCACGGCTGCCTCGGATGGTCGCATGCCGGTGCCAGCGCAGGGTGCCCGCTCAGGCGCCGTCCAACAGGCCCCAGTGAACGGCACGGACCTCACTTTGGGATTCCGACGGACTCAATGGCACATACTGGAAACAGGACCCAACTGTACATGCAAGTGGATGCACATATGTAAGAAGTGCCCGAGGCCTGTTCCCTTATGTAACTCGGAGAAACACCCACCCCCAGAGAGCCTATCAGGGAGTCATAACACTCAACCAACGTCTACGCTTTCAAACCCAAAGCCCGGCCAGCCTCGCAAAAAAGCCAGGATGCCTCGGACTGCCGCAAAAAAAGCCACGCAAGGCAGATGGCATGCGGAGAACGCGGTGCGATGCTGGCGTGCCAGCGCAGCTGAGAGCCGGGCGGACGGCGGCACCGAACTCCGACAGCGGAGGGCACGGCTGGCGGGGCAATGCTGGCGTGCCAGCGCAACTGAGAGCCGGGCGGACGGCGGCACCGAACTCCGACAGCGGAGGGCACGGCTGGCGGTGCGATGCTGGCGTGCCAGCGCAACTGAGAGCCGGGCGGACGGCGGCACCGAGCTCCGACAGCGCAGGGCACGGCTGGCGGGCGGTGCCGCCGGCGGGTCCCGACAGGAGACAGTGCGGAAGACGCTGTGCCGCCGCTGGATCTTGATAGGACATGGCATGGGAGGCGGGGCGGTGGCGCCGGTGGATCCCGACAGGAGACGGCACTGCTATCGGGGCGGTGCCGCCACTGGATCCTGATAGGAGAGGGCATGGGAGGCGTGGCGGTGGCGTCGGTGGATCCCGGCAGGAGACGGCACTGCTGTCGGCGCAGTGCCGCCAGTGGATCCCGATAAGAGGTGGCATGGGAGGCGGGGCGGTGCCGCCAGCGGATCCCGACAAGAGACCACACGGGAGGCGGGGCGATGCTGTCGCTGGATCCCGATAGGAGATGGCATGGGAGGCGGGGCGGTGCCGCCGGTGGATTCAGACAGGAGACGGCACGGCTGGTGGGGCAGTGCCGCCGGTGGGTCCAGACAGGAAACATCACGGCTGATGGGACAGTGCCGCCGGCGGATCCCGACAGGAAACAGCACGGCTGATGGGGCAGTGCCGCCGGCGGATCCCGACAGGAAACAGCACGCCTGATGGGGCAGTGCCGCCGGCGGATCCCGACAGGAAACAGCACGGCTGATGGAGCAGTGCCGCCGGCGGATCCCGACAGGAAACAGCACGGCTGATGGAGCAGTGCCGCCGGCGGATCCCGACAACAAACAGCACGCCTGATGGGGCAGTGCCGCCGGCGGATCCCGACAGGAAACAGCACGGCTGATGGGGCAGTGCCGCCAGCGGATCCCGATAGACAGCACAGGTAGCGGGTGTCACGCTGCCGCGGGAGAGGTTCCGCCGGTGTAACCCGATGGAAGAAGGCACAGCTCTCTTAATACTTCAGTTGTTGATTTGCTAGACTGAAAAGGTGCCCCCGTCGGTGACATGTTTTTCGCTCGTTGTAGGAAAAGTCTGATACTTTCCGGGAGCAGGTGAAATCCCTTCCAGAAGATGCACACAGCAAACGATCCCTCCGCTCCTGCACGGCGTGCGAACCCAGGCTTCCCCGGCAGTGTTCACCGCTCTGCTGGCCGCGGGCCCTGCCGTTGCTCTGCCTTCCCACCCAACCCCAGCACGACGGCGGCTGGGTCGGGTTCGTTAGGGCCGCACTCCACAGCCCGGCGCCGCCACAGTCCGGGTGCAGGGACCGGGCACCGCAGCCGGCCGGCTGGCCGGGCGCGGCCGTCCGTCGGTGCCGCCGTGCAGGCGGGCGGGCGGCCGCTCAGCTGGCGCCGTGCCAAGTGCCTCTCACGACTACGCGGGGGCCGGCGGCCGGCAGCGCGCCGCCGGCAGGTACCGCCGCGGCCGCCCCTTATCGGGAGCCGCCGCCGGCGGTCCCATCCAGGAAATAACGCTGTCCCAGCGGCGACGCGGCGGCGGCAGCGGCGGCGGCGGCGGCGGCGGCAGCGGCGGCGCGCTCCACTGCGGCGGACGACGCGGCAGCTGCAGCCGGATGTCGCCGCTCAGCATCACGGGCGGAAACCAAGCCGGGCCCCGCGCCGCGACGCCGTCAGCCGTTCAAAGCCTCCGGGATATGGTCTGCGGAGACGCTTCCGTGACGACGTCAGGAATGCAAATCTCCGCTGACCGCAGCTGCGCCGCGCCGGGGCCGGCGTGCAGAGCGTCACGTCACGTGACCAGGCCGGGCCTGGCGCGACCGAGTGACAGCCAGCCGGGCCGACAGCGGCGGCGGCGCCGGGCGGCCGGTGACGCGGCACGGCGCGGCCGCCGCCGCCGTCACATCGACCGACCGGCCGGCACCAGCGGCGCGGCCCAAGGCCAGCCAGGGGGCCAACACCGGGCGGCCTTTAGCCACCCGCGCCGCGGCTGAGCCGCCGGACTGCCGCCGGCCGCATCGGCACAGCAGCGCGCCGAGTCGCGAGCCCCGCCGCCGGCGCCGCGGCGGTCCGCCCCCGGCGCCGCGCAGGCACGGCGCCGCCCGCCCGGCCGCAGCCGCCCAGCAAGCTCACCCCGCGGGGCCCCGCCGCCGCCGGCCGCAGCGCGAGTGACGTCAGCACTGAGGTCGGACTTACCGTCGTTGATGACGTCATACGTGGGAGACATGCGCTGATGGGCGTCCATGGTGACGGGGTTCAGGCCCGGAGACAGGTTCAGCACTGGAGGCGAGTGCCCCCCGAACAGCGGTGAGTCCTGCCGCAGGCGATAGACGGAGGTCAGAGCAGCCGTCACAGACAACGCACGGCCCACATGACACCCATATCTGGGACAAAAAGTAACACGCCCTACGGCCCCACTTTTTGCACCGAAACATCAGCACAGAGCCAGGAACGGCATAAAACACCCAAAAAAGCGCCAGCCGACCAGCGAGGAGCGCACGGGGGAGTGTCGGCGGGGAGCGACAGCGGCGACTGCGGCCAAGCTGGCCCACCGGCCGGCGGTCGCCATCTGCCGGGGGCCAGCTCGGCTCCGGGCGTGCCGGCGCCCGACGCGACGCACCTGATGCAGCACGTTGATGTTGAGCGGCGGCGAGCCCGGCGCGCGGCTGGCGCGCGCCGTTACGCCCGTGCCACAGTCGGAGCCGAACAGCGGGGCCGAGGACGACTGCATGGGCATCATCGGCTTGTTACCATGGTGTCGACCCTGCTCCGATGTGGCCACTGGCATCACTAGGCGCCGCCTGGGAGCGTAGGCGGCGGCGTCACCATCAGCACCAGACATGAGGGTCTGGGTTTACGCAGGGCTCAGACGTACACACATGAGACTTCTCGCAGTTGGCATGGAACTTTCTGAGTTGGAATAAACAGGCCACATCTGAATGGGGTGGTCGCAGCACCCACACAACAAGAGCTGTCGTCCTACCCGGCGAAGACTTTAGCGTTCGGGGGAGGACGCGACGCAGTACACATCTGAAGACACCCGAAAATCACCAGATAACATTTTTAAAATGGGAATTTTGGATACAACTTCACAATCCAATAAGATAAATATTTTAGGCACACCTTCGCAGTCACAACGGCTAAGTTATCACAAAGATCTGGTTTGTGATGAAGCATGCCAGGCAACTACGAAAAAGGACACATATTTCAGCTGTTCAAGCACAGATGGTCATTTGCCGTCACAACCGGACCATCTGAACAGCTGGCATGTGACATGCTCCATTCTGCGCTCACTTCGCTTTTGGTTGCACCTAATGCTATTTAACCTGCCCCCCCCCCCCTCCCCCCTTGCTCGTACAGTTGCGTATGTGGCGAGAAAAGTGTTGTCTTCGCGCCGTGCGGCCGGAGGCCAAAATAAATTTTTCACCGTCTCCCACTCGGAAATTATCCACACATCGCATGATATTTGCCACAACAACCCCCGATAAAAGGGAAAAGAACGACATAAAAGTGGCATTCGGCTTCCAGCCTGCCCTTGACGAACAATCCTCTCCGTCAGCCAGTGCTCCCAAGCTAGCTTGAAAACGGTTCATCGATACTCTGCAGTCTGCAGCGAGTTGTGTTAAACAATTCCAATTGATTTTTCAACATGTTTTGACAAAACAGCCACGATGCGTACTTCCTAGATCTCCACATTTGTTGCTTGGATTTTTGCGGACATTTCGGTGACAAAATAGGCAAGTATTCATCGTGGTAGCACAAGGTGGTAGCAAACATTCATAAAACTAATTTGCTGATGAACATTCACACTGCAAGCAACATTTACTTTACGGGAACAAAGACACAAAATCGTGTTACACGGAAGTCATGATTTAGTGAGCAGTTATCTCCGGACCCCACCGTCGTTCACACCAAGATTTGTGTATGGGTGGCACCCGGTAGGCAAGTGCGACCTCCGCTAAACCTACAGGAGCCCCCTCCCACAGCACCTACAGTTCATATTACGGCTGCATGCGTTCTCATTATATTTCGAAACTCTGAGGTTCTGAGGCGGGCATGTGTACACGTTTTGTGGCTTTCTTCTGAACGGAAGGCAATGTGAAATTGCGCCGTTGGGGCGATATTATTTCGGTTTGTGGGTGGACAGGAGCCGGCATTTGCCAATGAACAAGGGTGGGGATTGGCCAGTGTGAATTTTCTCGTGTGCACATCTGAACCCAACATAAATAATCTACAGTCTAAGTGCATGCACTGATGCAGTCACCTTTATATTGATGTTGCACAATATAGTTGAAATGCACTAATGGGTCAATGTTGCATTATAAGGATTAATGCAATAGTAATGACAAATGCAGTAAAAAGGAGCCTTAATTGCTACACTGAAGCTCTCTCCAGATGACTGTTCACTGTTACCCAGTGAATCAGCTGTCTCCCCTCCCCCCCCCCCCCATCCACTACCAAAGCCCCATTTTTATTACTATATGTCATTTTTCAGATTCAGATGTTATGAAATTTTTGTGATGCTAAATCTATTGTTGTCATTTGTATACTTGGTGGTAGTTTTTATAGTTATTCTTAACCCCAAGCAATCCTGGGCAAAATTTATCTCATTTTACTAAGCATTTAAGACAAAACATGTCTTCAAAATTTTGGTTTAACATTATAGGGATTTTGTCCTATGCCCTGCTTAAAAGGAACAAATTTCTGCCTGATTTGAGGCACATTAAAATTGGGAGTGTAGTTTCATTTTAACTGGGGGGGGGGGGGGGGAGCAGAGGACTTAACTCTCAGTGCAATGGGGAAGTTTGTCAGATGAAGAGAAAAAAAAAATTGGTTGTATTTTAGGGACTCTTCGGCCATATTTCTCTGCTCAGTCCTCCTCCCCCCCCCCCCCAATCATGTGTACATGTTTTGTCAACCCATGTGTCTTTATTGGCCTTCAAACTGGGAAAAGTTTTGCAGAATCATGCACAAGGCATTTGACCAAATCTTTGTTTCAGTTACATCACACCAGTGGTGCAGTTCCCTATTCAACCCCCTCCACCACCACACAACTTTAAGATGAGCCAAACATGCAGAAAAGCTCTTTGATTAGCATATTTTGGAAGGAGGACAAGCCATTTTCCACTTTCTAACCCCTCTCCCCACAAATTTATTTTGTAAACCACACTCACCATAAAAATGTTGGTTTGCATTCTCCTTTTGTAGCATGTGAGCACAGCCCCCCTGCCCCCATCCTCAAATAAACTGCTAAACAAATACCCACCTCCTTAGCCATGATCATACCTTACATGATCCTGGTATACTTGTTTTGATGACACTGTATTGTGCAAACATCAAAATGATCCCAAGCTCCACAATAGCTGATGTAGTTTTATGCTCGCAAACCCCAGTTGTCATTACATCTATGTCAATTCACTATTTTAGGTTTGGGTGGAGAATGCTGAACAGAGCTAGCATGGCAAAGATAAAATGGAACAGATAAAAAATGGCATTTCATAACATATGTTGGATGTTAGCAATGTCTGGTCCATTTACAGCAGATACTGCCATGTGCTTTAATACATATTTTCTGCCCATGATGACACATTGATTACTTAAGTTTTGTCCAGGGAGAAATGATCATTGGCCTATTCTTTGAGGTGCATATATGCAAGCACAATGACTTAAGGTACAGAAATTACAATGTAACAATCCATTACAATCAAACAGTGGAGGGATGGACATAGCTTCACAGGTAGAGCTGCATCCCTGACAGCCCAGAAAATGAACAGCAGGTCTGTAACAAAATATGCCAGCATGGAAAGAACCAACCTGAAACTGGCATTTGCATGCCCCAACACTTTTGTAAAATTTCACTTCTGACAAACTTTCTGAATGCAGGACATTTTCACCCAAATATATAATCCCACAGGCAGGTAGCAAAGGTCAATGCATAAGGAATCCGATGCAGACTCTGACACATCACCTAACATTTTGCTGTTTTATTTGCTTCACCCCATTCCTCCTAGCCTTCTAACCCAACAGTCCTTAAGAATAATCCCTGGTTTGCCTCCCAGATTGGGAAATCTCGGCGAGATTTACGTCACGTTTCATTGAGGGGAAATATACCTATTTCCTCTCAGGTTTACCATCGACACCACGAAGCTAAAACAGAAGTATTCAACCGAACCTTTAGATGTCCTAGACGTCCTCAAAATCTTGCAACTTGCTTGGCGAGAAACCCACAGCTTGGGGAATCCAAATCACTCAGGAGGTCAGGCACAAAGTTCTGGTGAATAAGTCTGCCCGTATCCTCAACCACCACAACGATGCCCAAGCGCGCTACACTGCGCCCCGATGCCCAACGCCGACTGCGCTGCTGCTCGGCGCTTTGATCATTCAGCTGATTGTAAACAATGTTCCTAGGCCACGCCTACTTTCAAGTGATAAAGTAGTTGTACTACACAAAATTGCAATCACTCTTCAAAAATGTTCATTTAATTGAATTACTCAGCAGCTACGTGTTAGAAAAGTTCACTTTAATAGCAAAAAACCAGCAAAAGTATCAACAATATTAGTACGACCAGAAATAGTGCAGATTCGAGCAATCAATCGACGGAAAACCCGTGACGTCAGGATGACGCAAGGGGACACACCACATTACCCAATCACCTTTCGAGGTTGTTTGCTGGTTTTCAGGATCTACTTTCGGCGCACAACTGCGCCAGACGGAAGATGACGGCGAGGAAGGAGGAGTGCCGAAAAAGTTAGCGTGAAGCCGCGGCTTTGTGTGATATTGTGATACATCTTAGTGTGCTGGGGGAGCTTGTGAGTATATTTTTATGAATGTATGGATCAGTGAGCCCGTCCCGGGGCGTGTGTGGTGCCCCTAGCGTCTGCGCGCCGCTCCTCGGTTTCGTTGGATGGATTCCTTTGTTCTGGCGATCGGTGATTCATGTCTTGGATATTTGGCGACTGGCACTGAGACGTAAGGAATATTCGTTTAACTACGGAAGTTGGAATGGCGGTGGTCAGATCAAAGCTAGTTTGGTGGATTTTTGCTAACCTGACATATACATCTGGCCGCGAAGAGAAAGCGTAAACGTGCAACGGTTTGCGCTGGCCTCATTGTGCGCGAGTAAATGGGACCATATGTTATCCACATGCGCTACTTCCTGTTACTGGTAACTGCGCATTGCTGTTTGAACAATTTGTTGGTAGATTATTCTTTTTCATTATGTTGTTGAGGTTACATGGATAAAATCTGCTCTGTGCTACTATATGTGGCAAACTAAGGTTAGCACCATGTAGTTTATAAATCACCTTGACACAGCTTAAATGTGCATGGGTGAGTTAGTTTTGTAGAGCACTGTTGTATGTGGTAAAAATCTTGTTTTTGTTGAGCAAGCATGTAATTATGCCAAGTAAATTTTGCAAGCCTTAGCTCAACTGTTGTAATCATAACCTGTAAGGATGCAAACCAGTGGTGCTTTATGTTCACTGTATTTGATCAATTAGTTAAATTAACAGCCAGAATGCTGGGTAATATTTAAGATTCTTCTTCACTCTAGCATAGACTGAGGTCATTGATTCCATTTCTGCTTATTATATTGATGTGAGGAATGGGACTGGAGCTTGACAGATGTTTTAAGCAGGCTCATACTGTGTCTACCACCATGAGAGTATTGAAAATGTAGGTAACAGTATGTGAATGTAAAGCAAATTGGTTTATAAGTAAAAGTCATCTTTTAGCAAATGTCTTAATTAAGTGATTAACCATAACCAGGTTGAGGGGCCCCTGACTGTCAGAGCCCTTGATATTGCTGTAGTCAATACAGATGCTATTGAATACAAATAATGAATAGTTATGTATGATTGAGCAAGTTATTACTGCCCTAATTTTATAGTGACTTATGCAAAGTAAGTGACATGTAGGTAAGCATAGTCTTAGGAATAAGCTCAGTGACTTGTGGCTTGAAGAGTAGTCCAACTTGTTCTGGCAGAAAGTTAAGGGAGGGAAATGCACCAAGGATCAAGACTAGCTTTGTTTTCTGAGCTAATTTTTCCAATGTTGCATTTAATGTCAGTGCTGCTACAGCAATGTAGTAACTATATCTATATTGATAGCTATATTTGTGTTAATTTTACACAACTTGAGAGGCATGTATTTCATACATTTACATGTTCAAATGCAGCATAACAAGAACTAACCATACCATAGTGATCAGACAATCATCACTGGGCAAAAGCCAAGAGCAAGATTCCAGATGCAGATGATTGGTATGTAAAACCCACCAAGACCTAAGTGTAACAAAGTATGGTGCCATCGTAATAGACAAAGTGTGGATAACATATTGAACACTGTAAGATTAGTAGAAGAGTATTTCATACACTGTTCCTGGCATTTTTCCACCAATTTTCAGACATGTTTGCTGCAGAACAGTTTTCTCAGCACCAGTGGGAAAAAAATACTGTGAGTAGTGAAAATAGAGACTGGCTATTAGAACATGCCAAATTTTCATGAAAAGCTTCCAACTCAAGGCATTAAATAAATCACTCTATTTTTGAAAAACTCTTGAAAAAACTTGAAAACTGTAAAAAAAAAAACTGAAAGGGCTTCACACTTTTAATGGCAGTGGGTGTTCACCCTTCGATCAGTCACTCACTTGACCTATAGCCCCTGTTTGAATGTAACCATGATATGGTGCCTGAAAATGATCTGATGAAGAATAAGCTCAAAGTATCAAAACCCAACATTTTGAAGAAATCCCATGATTGCAACATTTTGAGGAACTTCTGTGCTTGTATCCCTTTACTTGTTGTATGCTTGTGGTCATTATGAATCTGGAAAACCAGGATTACAGGATAGGATATGCTGGTGTCCATCCTCTCTGCCTGGGAGAGAGGAAGGTGACATCATGAATGCTCAGCAGCTGAGAGCATTATGGAATCATAGTGATGGTGATGAACTGTTGTGGCTGTTTCACACATGTTTTTGTAGAGCAACATTTATCATGCTACCCTGTATGTTAGTGTTATAGCTACTGACTGATCCTAGGTAGTTCCCTGATATTTGTTTTTAGGCAGCACATGTCAGAGATGCCTCCTAGGCCCCCTTGTCATAGTTTCTGGAGCACATGAGATGTTTCTGGGCCTGATTCCTTCTAACCATCTTTTTATATCAGAAGTTCAAGACTCTGCTCTGGTTGGTGTTGGCTTGAGCAAGGGAATGAAGGTGACATGTGCCCATAATTTTGTTTATTTCTCTAAAGGGAGAAGCATCAGATATGATAACATAAGATTACTTCTAATTATTTGTGTACATTGAGCAGAAATAAATACTCAAGGTCACAAAGTATCTCTACTTAGTAAATTTGCACCATAGCATGTACATCATATGCACCTTACTATGTCATTGTTTCATTGCATCATGGCATGTATGCATGATGTTGAGTTGCTGTCAAACTAGCCATGCCAAATGACCACAATAGCACATGCACGCAATGCTACAACTCTGAGAGGTGGCTGTGGCAGGGTTGGAAATGTTCACAGACAAGTTTTGTTGTGTGCCGTGTTTTCACCCCCTTCTTGTGGTGTTCTTGCATATTTACCTTAGAGTGTAAGATATATACTTGCACTCACATCCTTGGTTATAATATTTTGCTTAACTTGAGGCAATTGATGTCCATTTTATTTGGAAATGGTGCTCATTGGATGCCAGATCTGGGACACCAGTTATGAATGGCTAGATGCCATTATTCTGTTTTGCTTTGAATGCTGCATGGCCTGTGGGGTGGCAGGATTCAAATGATGTTGCCATAACATCATACATGCCCAAATGGCCCTGAAATAGTCTATGAAATAGTCTTCACATCATGCAGACTTTTGCATTTGTGTAGCTCTCAGGCTACATAGTTTTAGCCTGTAAGAAGGGCAGGGTTGTTCACTGCCACAGTATCTTCAAAATGGCTCTTAATTCAAAGGCCATACAAATGTGAAGCTCTCCCTTTAGCCTGGTTATCAATGCCAAATAGATCATATACATCATGTAGAAAGTGTGATTTGCTTCAGTGATTAGGCTGAAGGCAACAATGGAGGGAATTTATAGGGTAATAGACGGTGCTGTTTAAAAGTGACATTGGGATGAGGTGACATATGGTTACAATAAAATATGTTCCTTGGTTTCATTGTGTGAAATGTGTATGTAAGCTTGCAGCCTTTTGTGACTTGCTATTTGTTTTGTGTAGTAATTGGCTTTACAACTATAATACAGACATCAGAACAGCTTGTTCAAAAGCATTGTTTAAGCTGCCAAAAAAATGATGAAGCAGTTTGCAGTAATAATATATTATTTGCAATTTACCATTTTTGCTCACATTTTCTGAGTGATCTACATCAGAATGTGGTGTAACAAAGGCTTTTTCACAGTGTTTCAACAGCTCACACTAAAACAAATCCCTGTCAGATGTTTTGCAAGTCAATCTGTTGGTTTGCTTTTGAGATACCAGTGGCTCTCCACCTGCATAGGTCCAGATCCCAGAGAGCAGCACAGAACATGTGTTTGTGGAGAAATAGGGCTGCACTAGTATCATGTCTGCAGTACTTGCAGGTAAATTGCATTGCATTGTTCCTTTTCAGGTTGTCGCGATTGAACTGTGTACAAATAGAGCTTTATCATGGTTCAAACATGGGGCAGAAGTTCGGCGGTGCGCAGTCAGCCCGGAGCTGTGCCACCTCTGCTCAAGAGGCCCAGTCCGTCGCTGCAGGCGTTCTTGACACCGCCGCGCCCGAAGGCCAGGTCTCGTCGCACGCCGCCGTGCTCATCATCCTGCCCGGAGGCGACGTTCAAGCCGATCGCGCCGGCGCGAGCTGCGTCGCTGCCGGCGAGTCCGGTGCGATCGGACAGCGGGCGCGAGTCGCCGTTCGCCGGTGCCAAGTTCAGCGAGCCGCCCGAGCCGCAACACCTGCCTCGGCCTCCCACGCACTGGACACCGATCTCACCAGCCGTCGGCGGCGGCCTGAATGACATATCAAACCTGAAGGTGCTGCTGCAGGCCTGCGCCTGAGACCAGACCTACCAGTTGACAGGCGGCGCCTGTGGGAACTCAGAGAAGGATGCAGTGTGACTGAAGACTCTCAAGGGTCCGTCTTGTTTCCACGCACGTGGAAAACGGGGACTCCGGTATGATTGGCGGATGCATGCGTGAGGGTTGAGCTTGACATGTCCGTATGTCAAGATTCCTGTGATGATGCAATTTGTTTTATGGATGCTCAAAATAGTCACTTCATTTTTGTCCTTTTCAAGGGTCTGTCGGATCTGTCTGGAAAGAAATCCGTTTCGTCTTTTTTGGTGTCGCAAAATTTGCAATAAGTTACCCCGAAAATG